TTGGTTGGGTTAAAAGGGATGCAAATGGGGTGGCAGATACCCTAGCAAAACAAGGGGCAAATAGATCTTCATTGTATTGGGCAGAATTGTAACTGCTTGCTGGAGATTGCAATTTCCTATGCAATCTTTAGCTATTGTATCTTCATCTCTCTGTTATTAATGAAAGATTTTTACTGATAAAAAAAAAAAAAGTTAACTTAATCAATATTTATGTATTTCGCCTTTCCATTTCTTTTATAAAAAAATTGATACAAATATGTTCAATTTTCCATAGAAAGTTTCATATAGTTTTTGACATTGTCTACATTGGGAATATTGAGTTCCAATACCTTTCTTGACAACTCAAACCATCTGATTCTTGTGCTGCTGGCAATGCAGCCCTGCCCATTAGAAATTTCATGTCCAAGGTTGCACCTAGAGTGGTTGAATTTGTGCCTTTTTTATTTACATTTCATGTCCTTTAGAAGCTTATATGGAATTCCCCATCTTGCCTTCAGTTCATTAGATACAATTTGGTTAAACATTTCCTCAAGTTTCCCATTTAAGAACAGCAAAGAATCTGTTAATCATCTTAATGTCCAGGGATGCATGCCTCTATGTGGTAATCATCTGGATGGCTCTAGATTTTGCCAGATAATCATTTAACTACTCATAGAGCTTTCACCCAAATTTGAAACCATAGCAGTTCAGTTGTTCAATAAACATTGCAAATTGCATTAGAAATGTTTTGGACAGTCAATGGTTGGGAAGTAACATCTTTACTGAACATGTTACAGAAGCTGTACAACTTTAGAAGTGGAAAGCAGAGACAAGGATAGGGGGATTTGGGATTGGGAGATCTCAGGTCAATTCTTGGTAAAATCTTTTTACAGAAACTTGATTAAGAGGGGGTGATAGTGACTTTCCAATGACATGGCAGGTGACAATTCCATCCAAAAGTGGCTTCTGAGTGATGAACAAGAATGGTGAAAACAGGACTCAAGTAGCCAACCCCATATGTTGGGATAAGGCTTGGATGATGATGATGACCTTGGTGATGGGCAAAATCAATAACAAGCTGCTAAGGAGGGGTACACAAATAGAAGATGTCAGTTGTGTCTCGTGCCACAGGAGGAGTAGTCTTCAAACCACTTATTACTACACTGTGACTTCTCTTACAAGGTATGGATGAGAAAGCTTCAGCTGTTTGCAGTAAAATTATGCTTTTGGCTGCTATCGGAATGAATTGAGTAGAAATGGGAAAATAGCATGGAAAACCATACAAATAGCTTTGTTTTGGACCATTTGGAGGGAAAGAAATGGAAGAATATTTGAAAATAAGTAGAGAGCAGAAGAGGAAATGGTAAGATTGAATACTGGGAATGCAATACTCTTGGCTGTCCAACCACAAGTCTTTTAAAGGAAGAAATCATGGTTCTTTTACAACAATTCAACTTCAACAATCTTTTTGTAAATTTTAAAGGCACACTGTGACTGTGTACAGATTTTTGAGAGATCTATAGCTTTATACTTTTGCTGAAAATCCCCTTTGTACAGTTCCTCATGTACAGGGGTATCTTATATAATTTTTTAGTTACTTTCATACAATTCGTTTAGTTTTAAAAAAACAAAAAAAAAATGTTTTGCACCATCAAAGGAGTGGTGGCCAAGTTTATAAATAGCAATAGCACATTGCTTTATACAAACTGGAACTAGCAGTTATAAAATTGATACCTAAAAAATGAATTTCAAAACTTTAAGACAAACTAAGGGGCATTTATCTTGTCATACCATTAAGTTATTAAATTATATAACAGAACGGAGGAATATTAACAAAATTGGAAGAGACATACTTCCTGTATTCTGATGGAGGCACTAGTTTCCGCAATAAGGAGACCATGACAATGGTTGATGTCAGATTGTCAAGGACTGAACTAAGGAAAAAGGTTACAAAACCAACCTGAAATTTTTATCAAGAACCTGGTAATTCACCAAATTATGATACAAAATTTTGATATTTTATGCACCAAATAGAGCCATTAAACTGATAATAAACTACCAAAAGTCTGTCAGAATAGTTTCTCAATTGGAGAAGTAAGGCAATCAACTTTTTTCTGACCAGTAATAAGTCAATCAACTATTAGAATAGTTAGCATAGTTTCTCAAAAAGATGTACCTCTACTGAAGTAATGGTAAAAAATACCTAAAATGATCTAAAAAATAATTCATCAAATACAAGCACAACATTTAGGCTTCAGAGAATATTATTGCGTCTAAGTTATCTTTCAAGGTGGGCGTTGGAAAAAGTTTGGGTATATTGGAATTTTGGGTTATGGTGTTACTATAATTTTTTATTACATTAGGGGATTTTCTATCAGTAACACTTCAATCTATTAAGTTTGTAAGAAAGAATGATGTAATACATACAAGAGTCTGCCAAGCACCCCATGTAGGGTAGCAGATGCTACTTGCTCTAACAAATCTGTATTTTAATTTTCAAATCACAAACTCCCCCTTGGGTAGTCACTTCCCAATACAATTGGTTCCTAATCAATATATTATGGGCCTATTTGTACTTCTGGCTAGCTGAAGTTCTGTACCAACAAACCAACTGGTATATGTGACTTGTCTGGCAAAGTAACTGGTATTGGATTATCTAAGCCACCATCCATCTATGGTTTTTAGTCAGAGAGGAGACAATGTAGACCATGGGGGATGGGGTTTACAGGCTATGGTTATGACTTTTGTCCCCATATCTTCCTGCATTCCTCCATTTATATTATTCTCTCTCATCCCATGGATGCAAGCTACCATGCCAAACCATATAAATCTGGTTTCTTTTTTTGTTCTGCTTATAATTTATTCTTCCTTTTTCCAGTTATGGTTTTCCATCATGTTGTTCAATATGGTCTAGCTTCTGCTTATGCCAATTGTTATCTTTGCACTATTGCACTCAATTATTTGACATGGTATCAGAGAAAATGGGTTCAGATCCATGGTTTACTGCTTTATTTTGGCATTTATGTGCTAGCAGACAATACTCTAATTTGGTAATACTGTTAAATCTTTGGTTTGAAGGTCAGCTGGTTTTCATTTTCCAGCTCTGGTTTGAAAATTCGGTTTAGTGATCTGTTAAAGTATTCGGTTGATGTTCCTTCTGGTGATCTGGTCAATTGTCACAAGTTTATCACCTTGAACAACTTTTCTGGCATTTGTGTTGACACGGCCATACGGATGTATGTCTTAGAGATGTGAAGCTAGCTTTGAAATATTTTGATTGTGACTTGTGTGTTGACACGGCCAGGCTTATGTAGCTCACCTTTTTCCATCAATATATATATGTATATATATATATATATATTATTGATTTAATTATGGAGATTTTGCATCTAATTGGTCTCACTTTAAGGCCTAGAGGGATGAATACATTAAAGGTGAGGTTGCTCCTCTGATATGATATATGTTGCCCAGCTGGCCCTCACCCCTATTTTGTATAATCTATATGTATATTTTAATGTTTTTATGCCAATAATTGAAAAGAAAATATCATACAATCTCTAGACAACTTTCAATTATCTTGTCATCAATGGTTCTACCAGTAGGTTTCTATACGTGCTTGTTTCTAGTTTTAAGTTCTATTTCTTTTTAATTTCTAATTCTATTTCAACATATTCATCTTTCCTATTCTCATATTATGGGCATATTTATTGATTCACATTTTACTCTATACGGCATATTGGTCTTATTGGCATCTAATAAAATTACCTCTTCAGTTTTAGTTCGGAAATTCACTTCTTTTGCACATGAACTTCCAATTGGGCAAATGTGAGGAAATAACTGATGTAGACACTTACCACCCAAAGGAGAGTCCGCGGCTTCCGGGTAGTTATATTGTCAGTAACCAGTTTAAATCCTTGATGGGCATCAACTATCTCTACAATGGTCATTGCACCAAGCAAGAAAAATACTATTTCACTGACTTCGGCAGAAGCACGGGTTAGCTCTGTAACAGCTATCTCAGTTGAAGGAGCCTGCACCAGAAAATAAATTGCCACAGGAAGACAATTAAACAAATATGAAGAAAATACCTAGATCAACAATTCTAGACTAAAGAAAATAACAGGAAGAGGGTTTGAAACTATAGCATGTCATAATTTAGGAGGAAAGTGGCCTACCGCAGCTTTCTTCAGAAACCACATGACATACCATTCTTAATCAAATATTTATCAAAAAAAAAATCCACACTTAATTAAATACTACCTCAAGAAGAAATGCATATCATCACCAAAACAGATAACATCATATGGTTTATGAGCATGCATTACTTGTTGGTGCTTCCTTAATACAGGCAAATGCAGTTATTGCAAAAAGGACAAAACATTGGCAGGTGTCACATATTTTTATGCGTAGGTGAATTGTGCATTTAAGAGAGGAAGAAAAGAGCTATAATTTAATCCATTGGAGGCATTTTAATAGTTAACACTATAACAGGCATAAGAGTTTCAGGATTGATGTGTACATAACTAAATGGATGTGCAGTTTTACAATTAAATTCTATGGCAGTGGAGTTTAGCAGGTAAAAGATGATAAATAATCAAATGAATTTGCCATAGCTAAATGCAAATGATGAGCCATCTATTGGATTGGTCATAGCCCAAACAACTGTAATCTGGTAATCCTGACTCATAATCATGAACACAAAAAGACAATTCAGGATCCATGACCATTAGAGTTTAGCAAAAGTTTTAATGCTGACTGTCAAACTGGTAATCCTGACTATTCAAATAAATTGCTCTGACAACCAAAAAGGAGTTGTGAATACTTCTAATATGCATGAGAGTAAGACTTGATTAGACACATGATCAAGATCATCAAATGAATACACTTACCAGATAGTACCCAAACTACGGGTGCCTCATCAATCAGAACTCTGAATCAATGTCAAAGGAATATTTATAGAACATTATCAGGAGATATATAAATTCTAGTTTATGTTTATTATCTTTGGATAATTTATGTTTATGCTTATAAAATAATGCCTTTAATGTCCCGGTTTATCTTAATTTGTTAGTAAAAGTGTAAAACTAGCAAATGAATGAGTGACATTGCTTGTTTGGACAAGGAACTAAATGTCAAAGGCACCATAATAACACTACAAGCAATAGAAATATTAAAAATTTTAAGAAGCGAATACGGATCTTACTCCAATGCTTCGTATAACCCATAAGCTAACAGCCATCAGCAATCCAACTCCACTTTTGTTGAAAGCTAGAGATTCCTCAAAGATTATGCCTGCATATCCTAATCCAAATACCAGCGCCATAGCAACATCCTGCACTATAAGATACCTATTATCAAAAAAAAAAAAAAAAACTGAAGGTTGTTGACACTTTTCATTAATACTTAGGCAGACAGATACTCATGTAGAGGACAAAGTAAGAAATGTCTGTCCTGTAAGCACTAGAACTATTTCATCTCAAAAGCATGCAAGCTCTTGCAGAAAACCCAGAATGCTGAGTTCTGGAGAGGAATAAATAAGGATGGACCTGATTAGCAGCCACCCAAGAATGATTAATTGCAACTGCTCCTGCTGCGGCTGACGCAATAATTGCAAGAGCCTTCAGCAAATCCGTCTTTGGCTGGTAAGTGGCTTCAAAATCTTGTGAGCTAAAATCATCAACTGAACATAAAGGATCACACGTCCTAGAATTCGGCATCAGCTCCTGATGCAAATGCCAACATGTCAATACTGAATCTGTGAATACAAATCCATATAGAGAGCAATTTCCAGCATCAATAGTTTCAATAGGAAACTGGAGATATTGGTGTCCATGGCTAACATATATGTAAATAATAATATAACAGTAATACAGCTTTGGTCGTTTGGACTTGGTCCACTAGTCCAAGTCAACCAAAGTACTCATAACATCCAAGTCATCATTGTATTGTCTGAGTCAGTCCTAGTTAGTTGAATCAGAACCAAACTTAACAGCCAATAGCTCTTAGCTCAACACAACTACTACAGCTAGACCAATTTCATAATACTCTAGTCATGGCAATCTCACCTGTTAGAAAAAGTGATCTGTTACAAGTTGAAAGGGCCAGAAGAGCTAGGGGCAGACTGAAAAGGACTTGGATGGAAGTAAAAGGAAATGATTTAAGTGCCCATAATTTAACAATGGATATGACACTGAACAGAATGGGAGTGGCAAAACAGAATTCATGTAGCCTACCCCATATAGTCAGGACAACGCAACCTTCACCAGGGAATAAATCATAAATCAATATCCATCTGCTTCTATACTCTACAAGAAGAAAATAAAGAAAGAAAATGGTTTGGCACTTAAATGCTAAAATTGGTCTTTTTATTATTCCATTTAGCTTGTGACTATTTCACAAGAAAACTCCATTTTTTTTATCAGTAAAAATCTTTCATTAAAAACAGAGAGATTAAGATACAATAGCTAAAGATTGCATAGGAAATTGCAATCTCCAGCAATCAGTTACAATTCTGCCCAATACAATCAAGATCTATTTGCCCCTTGTTTTGCTAGGGTATCCGCCATCCCATTTGCATCCCTTTTAACCCAACCAAACTGAGAGTTGAACTTCCTTGCAA